AAAAAAAACAATTATGAATCATAAATTGCTGTTATTGAATATAACTAATTTTCGCAAGAATTATTATTTATCAAATTGATGCTATTTTGAGTTATTGTCATTATTTAACACATTAACTAATAACAATCTCCTTTTTTTAACACACGCCAATCAAAACATAACTGTATTTTAAAACAGTGAATGTCGCAGTGTTTCAACTAAATTTAAACCATGATTTAAGTGAAGCGTCAATACGAAGTTTGTTAAAATAACATTGTAAATAAAGAATCGCCATCACTATCGATTTCATCTTACGAGACATAAAAAAACTGTTTATAACGTTAAATTGTACTTTTATTTATATTGTTAAATATTCTTTCCAAATACCACGCGAGGTGAGAATTTTTTAAGAATACTCTCACCTTTTGGGTTGCATCCTATCTGCCTATACCAAATATTAGCGACTATTTCTCCAGAGAAATAGCCAATATTTAGTCTAGTGAAATAGTCGTCCCAAACATAACACGGCTTTGAATAAAATTATGCTATTTTTGTTGTTGCTTAATTTATAGAACATTTTACAATTTGATTCTACGATTTTACATCATTTTGGCATTAATCACAGCCCAGTCTGGGGATTAAACCCTGTTTTCTAAATGCTCAATTCGAATCCGGGGTCCATTTTACCCTATCACGTCAGGGTTTTGCCATAACCTCAAAACCCAATAATTGAAAATTTTTTGTGTGGCTGTAAATTATAGTTTTTTAAGGTTATGTGACTATTGTATTATGGGGTAATGAGTTTTAGGGGATATAATGTTAAGGATGTATGTTTAAAGTTTGAATCACAGGCTTATACGCATTAGAAAGTGCTGAAAAGTCTCAATTATTGTGCTTGATGAGGTTATAGCAAAACACTGACACGATAGGGTTAAACGGACCCCGGATTCGAATTTAGCGACCCCAAAAACATATAGAAAACACGGTCTGGTCCCCAGACCCGAAATTTTTTTTGTGTTGCTGTGATAATAAATTTATTAAAACCCTCGAGCTAAAGCTTTGGGATTCTAATCATATTATTAATGCCAAAAATTATGTTTCATCAAATTGATATTAAAATATTCTACAGATTTAGATTCAACAAAAATAGCTAACTTTTACATGATTTAGGTACCAATTGGTGCTGTAGTTGAAATAGTAATCATAGATGAAGGCTTAAGTTATGACGCAAATCATCCTATACATCTCCACGGCAATGGAAAGATTAGGCACGTCTACAACTGTCGCAGAAGTAAAAGAAAAAGACGCAAAAGGCCTAATCAGAAGAAATTTGGATAATCATCCGTTAAAAGATACTGTCACAGTACCTGATGGTGGTTATACAGTTGTTAGATTTGGAGCCAATAATCCAGGAAAGGAGTAGTTAAATATTCCAAACCAAAAATTTGCATTTAAATGATTGGTAAGATCCACATTCTCGCAACAGTTAAGGAGTGATCTCTCCGGTCACGTCGTGAATGTATGACCGACGGGATGTGATAACATGGGGAGTTCGAAGGGTGTAAAAACTAAAAAAAACAACTTTACATAAAATTATGCATTAGAATAATTGGTAAGACGTGTTTTCTTTTGTTCTTTATTTATTGCATACAGACAGAAATTAAAACTTCCGTGTCAGCATATCACCTATGGGCCATTCGCACCGCTTTTACTTAGCATCTAAGTGACACTTAAGAAGGCATAACCGTTTGCACCGTTATTAAAGTTCCACTTATCAAGGCGTTAAGGGCCACTCGCACCGCTTTTACTTAGCATCTAAGTGACACTTAAGAAGGCATAACCGTTTGCACCGTTATTAAAGTTCCACTTATCAAGGCGTTAAGAATCACTTTACTAAGCCCAGAAATTTTTCAGCTTAAACCATTACTTAACCTTAAAATGTTTAATTTTTATAATTTTGAGTGATGTTGACTGTCATTGTGTCATTGATTTATAACATTTGTAAAATTGCAATACACAAAATGGAAATAATGGAAGATGATGAGGCTTTGAAAATGCTTGATTTCATTAATATAAGATACCACGAAGAATATAAAATAATATATACAAAAACGATTACTTTTAAACTGCGATTTGAATTGGCAGAAGAAAACTCTTAATTGCCTTGATGAAATTAAAGCAAATTTATAGTGCCCTTATAATAAATATGTAGGTTTCAAACTCAAATATTTTTACAGACAACACAATTATAACCATTTTTATAAAAAGTGTTTTTTTGTGAATCTTTTTTGTAAAATTAGCATTAAACTCATCCCCATCTTTCAACGTTAGTATGTTTTCTATATTTTTTTTTTATATTAACTAATTGAATTAATACTAATTTTACTCTCATTATGGCTGTACTTCGTGCTCTATTTTATTACTTCTTAGTTCATCTATTTTTTTTAAATAGTCCTGTGACACAGGAGAGAGTTTTTTCTCTTCTGCGCCTGACAATAATAACTTTTGCTGAGTTCAGTGAGACATAACAATCCCAACCGATACCAATCGCTTTCGTTCTACGATACGTATTGCTTTATATCGATCCCTATCATTTGGGAGCCTTTCATTTTTGCGCTAGTTTCTGCTTCTATCAAGAAAGATAAGCGGGAAACCTCTTAAAATCAACCTAAAACGCCTAAAACCAATCGCTATTTACGATTGCTAGAAGAACAACCTGGTTGGGGATTAATGTGATAAAAATAATACAAAAAATACTTAAATATTAAAATTATTGTAAATTGTTGATGAAAACTCCAAGTGGCAAATAAACAAATTCACTTTCAATTGCAAATACTACGTTTCATTAAATTAGAATTATCGTTCAACACAAATTTAATTTTTGTAAATTGAGCGTATCGTTCAGTAAGCTGATCCCGCTACCCCAATCGCAGCAAGAATCCGATACACTCATTGAACGCAGCTTTCATTAAACATTCAAAATAAAATTAAAATTTGACATTATTTCTTCTTTTTCTAGAAAAATCTTGACGTTGCCAAATCAATCCGACTCATAATTAATCGTTGCTTTCTAATAGGTTGGTGCGAATTAAACTACGATAAGTAATACTTAAATAATAAGTTTCACTTTACTAAGGGGAAATTTATTCTGAAGCGGTGCGAATGGCCCTAAGAATCACTTTACTAAGCCCAGAAATTTTTCAGCTTAAACCATTACTTAACCTTAAAATGTTTAATTTTTATAATTTTGAGTGATGTTGACTGTCATTGTGTCATTGATTTATTAACATTTGTAAAATTGCAATACACAAAATGGAAATAATGGAAGATGATGAGGCTTTGAAAATGCTTGATTTCATTAATAGATACCACGAAGAATATAAAATAATATATACAAAAAACGATTACTTTTACACTGCGATTTGAATTGGCCGAAGAAAATTCTTAATTGCCTTGATGAAATTAAAGCAAATTTATAGTATCCTTATAATAAATATGTAGGTTCCAAACTCAAATATTTTTACAGACAACACAATTATAACCATTTTTATAAAAAGTGTTTTTTTTGTGAATCTTTTTTGTAAAATTAGCATTAAACTCATCCCCATCTTTCAACGTTAGTTTGATTTCCATAATTTTTTTTATATTAACTAATTGAATTAATACTAATTTTACTTTCATTATGGCTGTACTTCGTGCTCTATTTTATTACTTCTTAGTTTATCTATTTTTTTTAAATAGTCCTGTGACACAGGGGAGAGTTTTTTCTCTTCTGCGCCTGTGACAATCATAACTTTTGCTGCGTTCAGTGAGACATAACAATCCCAACCGATACAAATCGCTTTCGTTCTACGGTACGTATTGCTTTATATCGATCCGTATCATTTGGGAGCGTTTCATTTTTGCGCTAGTTTCTGCTTCTATCAAGAAAGATGAGCCGGAGACCTCTTAAAATCAACCTAGAACGCCTAAAACCAATCGCTATTTACGATTGTTAGAAGAACAACCTGGTTGTGCATTAATGTGAAAAAATAAAAAAAATACTTAAATATTAAAATTATTGTACATTGTTGATGAAAACTCCAAGTGACAAATAAACATATTCACTTTCAATTGAAAATGCTACGTTTCATTAAATTAGAATTATCCTTCGATACAAATTTAATTTTTGTAAATTGAGCGTACCGTTCAGTAAGCTGATTTCGCTACCCCAATCGCAGCAAGAATCCGATACACTCATTGAACGCAGCTTTCATTAAACATTCAAAATAAAATTAATATTTGACATTATTTCTTCTTTTTCTAGAAAAATCTTGACGTTGCCAAATCAATCCGACACTTAATTAATCGTTGCTTTTTAATAGGCTGGTGCGAATTAAACTACGATAAGTAATACTTAAATAATAAGTTTCACTTTACTAAGGGGAAATTTATTCTGAAGCGGTGCGAATGGCCCTATAGTCTGGGGATTAAACCCTGTTTTCTAAATGCTCAATTCGAATCCGGGGTCCATTTTACCCTATCACGTCAGGGTTTTGCCATAACCTCAAAACCCAATAATTGAAAATTTTTTGTGTGGCTGTAAATTATAGTTTTTTAAGGTTATGTGACTATTGTATTATGGGGTTATGAGTTTTAGGGGATATAATGTTAAGGATGTATGTTTAAAGTTTGAATCACAGGCTTATACGCATTAGAAAGTGCTGAAAAGTCTCAATTATTGTGCTTGATGAGGTTATAGCAAAACACTGACAAGATAGGGTTAAACGGACCCCGGATTCGAATTTAGCGACCCCAAAAACATATAGAAAACACGGTCTGGTCCCCAGACCCGAAATTTTTTTTGTGTTGCTGTGATAATAAATTTATTAAAACCCTCTAGCTAAAGCTTTGGGATTCTAATCATATTATTAATGCCAAAAATTATGTTTCATCAAATTGATATTAAAATATTCTACAGATTTAGATTCAACAAAAATAGCTAACTTTTACATGATTTAGGTACCAATTGGTGCTGTAGTTGAAATAGTAATCATAGATGAAGGCTTAAGTTATGACGCAAATCATCCTATACATCTCCACGGCAATGGAAAGATTAGGCACGTCTACAACTGTCGCAGAAGTAAAAGAAAAAGACGCAAAAGGCCTAATCAGAAGAAATTTGGATAATCATCCGTTAAAAGATACTGTCACAGTACCTGATGGTGGTTATACAGTTGTTAGATTTGGAGCCAATAATCCAGGAAAGGAGTAGTTAAATATTCCAAACCAAAAATTTGCATTTAAATGATTGGTAAGATCCACATTCTCGCAACAGTTAAGGAGTGATCTCTCCGGTCACGTCGTGAATGTATGACCGACGGGATGTGATAACATGGGGAGTTCGAAGGGTGTAAAAACTAAAAAAAACAACTTTACATAAAATTATGCATTAGAATAATTGGTAAGACGTGTTTTCTTTTGTTCTTTATTTATTGCATACAGACAGAAATTAAAACTTCCGTGTCAGCATATCACCTATGCCATCTCATACATATTAGGTCTTTTTCTTTACGTCGAAAGTGTAGCACTGAGCTACATTACTAGTGCAAATATCGTTTCATTTATACATTCCTTTGGATTGTGTCCACCATTCTCCTGTATTTTTTAAGGTGCAATACGTTTCTCCATACCGGTGCCCCGTAGAGGACCATTGATTGAACATCTCCTGCTAGGACTTTCCGTTTTTCCGATGATGGTCCTCCTATATTTGGCAATATTTTCATTAGGTTTGTTATACTTTCGTCTGCTCTTTTAACTGTGCGTTTAATGTGATCGGTAAAATTCAGTTTCTCATCTATCCATATACTTAAATATTTAACCTGCTTTTGAGGGACGATCACAAGACCGTCGATCATAAAACTGATATTTTTCCTTGCTCTAGGACCTTCTATAATTACCGCCTTTGTTTTATGAAGGGCTAGGTTCAGATTCATCATATAACTAGGTTTGATATATTCTCGCTAGATTGACTTTAACGGCATGTAACTTTTATGTATCAGAAACTTTACAGATGGCGATAAAATATTTGTTATTAGAAATGGTTATTGAACACAGTTGTCACTGAAAATAGAAAGTACCGTTGGTACAATTGTGAAAAAGCCTTCTTTAATCTTAATTAATTTAACAATGTAGGTATGTTTAGTAAAGCTAAACTGTCCCTAACTTCATTTTTATTATTCAGGAAGATAATTTCTAACGCAAAAATGGCGAAAAATTTCTATAATTTTTAATATTTCTTCATCAAAAGAATCCGAGGAACTTAAATAATACATTTTAAGTTTATTTGTTTTCCTGATATTTGAGAAACGATAATAAATCAAGAAATGTCAAATTATGACCTGCTAACTAACCTGACACATGCCAGTAGGTACTAATCGAATATATATCTTACCAAACTGGCTAGATATCTATTCGATAACTTATAAAATGGATAATTCTTGTTATACGTTTCAGAATCCAAGTTTTTCTAATTATCCCTTTGTTAAGCCTATCGATCACATATTTGCCATTTTAGAAACAGGCCAGGGGCCCTATTCTCGAATGTCTATTTCTAAATGTCTCACGCGACATTGATGATATGTCGAACAAGAACGCAAAAACGTATTCTGGAATGTCGAATTCGACATTTGTTGTTATACTCTGTTTTTAAACTAAGAGGAGCGAATTGAAAAGACATATTTACACAGGGAAAAGTAACTAGATTTGTTACTAAGAGCGATTTTCGAAATATAGTCGTGTTCAACATTTATGAAATAGTTATCTTTATCGGCCTTAGTCAGTGAACGGCCAATAAGCGGTTAAGAAACGAATAAATGTCATAGACGTAATTTTTATATTGGTCCGAGACGATGATCGCAAATTTCACATTATTGTGATCTGAAATGTGTGTCTAAAACGAAATGACGCTGTCTAATAAAATTCAATATGGTTGTCGATTGATGTCAGAAATACTTTTTCTTGCTTTTGAAATCGACTTTTTGAGAATAACTATGATCTTTTTAAAATGGATATTAAATATTTAAGAAAATTGTTAATAAAATATCCAGATGTAGCCAGGTGAGTATAAAATATAAAAATCTGGTCTGTTTACATTTTTAAGGATATATTTGTTTTAGGTTTAAAAAGTAAAAGTTAATCAGTGAATGACAAGTGGATCACACAGTAACTGGTATCTCTCCTATGAGTAATGTGGATATTATGGCTTATGTAGTGTTAACCCATGGTTAATACACTAAATGGCAAATAAAGGCATTCGAAAGTTTACAGGCTTATGAGTCAGAATTAGTTTTAAAAACTGGAACCAACATTTTCATAACATTACATGACAATATATATTTTTTAATACAAAGTGAATTATTCATACATACCTATGTATTAATTTTAAGTATTTTTAAAATATTTTTTGTGAAAGTAATGTGTCATTGTGCTAAATTAAGATTATCCCTAAAGTAGTAGATGGTGTTTTAAATGTTATAACAATTTTGTAAATGGTTCTATTCTATTCTAATTAATAAAATCAACTTGAATATTTAGGTACATTTTAATCATTTTGGTTAGAAATTCATCAATTTTTAGTTATAAAAAATCACTAATAAAGTAATTAGTTTTTTCTAAAATACTTCGGAATTCATCTCTTCATAGTAATCTCCTATCTTTTTACCTTCAAAAACCAATAATGCATTTTCTACAAAACCTTGTTCAGAATCAGCATGTAAAATAATAAGGTGTCTTCCTTTTCTTGTAGGGCTTTTCTGGAATTGCTATCCTTAATAGTACTCAGTGTAGAAGAATCCATAATTAAAAACAATTGCTTACTGAAGAACTATTATTTACGAAATAAAGTAAAAAACTAAGTAATTATGAGATATCAAAATATAAAATGTCAGAACTGTCATCAATATCAATTATTAGCTGATTTTCATGATGAAAAGTAATGTGTGAAACTGACTGCAATTTTACCAATCAGAAGTCTACAGAATTGCCAACTTAAGTTTAAATCGCTCCTCTTAGTTTAAAAACAGAGTATAGACATAAAGTCGAGTGGTACTCAAACAGTCGACATTGAAATGTTGCATGCCTTTTTAAATATAATGTCATGAGGGTCGTGACAGTGACAGTTTATATTTATTTTTAAGAGAAATGAAAATAAGTATTGTACAAATTGTTCTTAAAAATATATGAAATGATTGTTTATAATTTCACCTAAGGTCTACCGGCAGAAGACCGGTAGACCTTCGTTCAAGCTGAGGGCCCTCTTTCAGGAAGCAGGCTTCGTTCGGGCAGTATGTCCTCGTTCGGGCAGTGGATCCTCGTTCGGGCAGTGGATTCTTGTTTAGGCATCGGGCCTCAATCACTGGGTCTCATTCAGTATGCCTAAGTCAGTGGGCATCAGTCTGTGGGCCCTTGAGAATAAAAAATGCGAAATAACCTTTGGAAAGAGCATCAATGTGCTAAAAGGGCCTTTTTTGCCTCTTCAAGGAATCGGCTAATGAAAGAGATGTAATACCTGTCATTAAGAAATTTATATAGTTTTATTTTTTCAAATTGCAGGTAAAAAGATTATATCACAGACATTTTATGTAATGTTTAGATTATATTATACTGTGATAATAATATATTTCTTCTTTTTACAATTTAATCTCTTATCAAATTGTACTTTCAATTTTCTATTTAATCCCCATGAAATTTTAGTTAAAAGATTATATTTACTCTACTTTCTAATTAGTATTTATCAAAAAGACATATATTTGGGATATATTTGCAGTATTACTTTGTATAACTAAGGGATCCTTCAAGTAATTGTGTGCTGTAATATACTCGTCTTGTATGTTTCTATCCAATGTTGCCAGATGTTACCATTCGCCAAATATGTCACTGGTTACAAATTGTCGATTTTACTTTGAGAATATGGATAGTGTCAGTCGATCGACATTTTGATAGACATTATGACGAATGCGACATTTTTAATAGACATTCGAGAATAGGACCCCAGAGGTCACTTTTAATAATTGACATTGTCCCAGGTTTGATATCATAGCGATATTCTTCATTCGCATTCTTTATGTGGATTTTGTTTCTTTTGTGGTGTTCTTTATAGTCTCAACCATTTCTCAGCTCGTAGTTCGATGCGTACGACTCCTGCTATAACACCTGCGGCTTTTATCTATATTACTTATCATAACGTGCTATTTTATTTAAGATGGACCTTTGATCTTTAGTATGGTTCCTCCTTCATGTTTACATTTTAGACCATCCTGACAAATCGGCCCTCCGTTTCTATTTCTTTACCAATATAGCCTTTATTTAGCGTGATATATACACATAGTACATCGATGTTCAAATACCATCCATCTTTTTCACATTTTTGAGATTTGTATAGTATATAGAGATGAAAATCACTCCTTTCAAAATATTGACAAGACAACTAGGGCAACAATACAGTGACTGACGACCACTAACCACTACGTAGTATGATAATAAAATGCAAATATTCGCCTTCCGAGTAAAAAGTTTGTTAACTTTATAACAATGTGTTGGCCGGTTGTGAGCGCGACTTATACACAATTATAATTTCATTATACTAATTTTTTTCTAACTATCTAATTAAAATGGGAAATAAAGGTTTTCATAGAAAACTACTCGTAAAAACCTCTTTTAATTTTTTATACATAGGGGTTTAAAAATTCAGATTAATTTTTATAATCCATCTCCCCGATCGGAATTAAAAAAAGAATATACTTTGACACTCTAATGTTTCTTGTTAATATTTTAAAGAAATAAGGGAACTATTAGATTTTATAGTTTGGTGATTTTAATAATGTAATAACACAATTTCAATGCAAACGGTTTTTTAACGTGATTAATATGCCTCTAAACGCTTACGTAGCATATAACCACTTGGTCATATAACCACTTGTTTTTGTTAACGCAGCGGCGTAACTCAGCATATTTAAGTTGAATTCCTATCAACGCTAACAGAAACAAGTAAGAACATTGCTTATTATTTAGTTTAAGATACTGTTACGCAGCACCCTGCAGTAGCCTACGGCTGTTATAGGAAACGTACGAATAGAAAAAGATGTGGAATGCTGCTAAGCGCCCTACAGTGTGCTGCGGTCGTCATAAGTAAAAGTACAAGTAAAAGAAGATAGAATAGTCCAGAAATGTCATTACTCGTCAAGAATATTCTAGACGACAGTTCAAGAAGGTTCGAGAAGGGTCAAGCAAGCTATATCTAAATAACACCGAAAAAATTAAAGGGGTGATTCTGTGATGAAAATTAATGTGAGTGTTTGGTATAAATTTTTTTAAAAAAACCCTCCCCGGAAAAGTTACACCCCTTCGAAAATTA